ACATTTAATTTTTGTTCTGCTGTTCTGTATATTGGCTCAATTTCACATGTATCTGCCAAAAATAAAAAATATAATAGAAGACTTTTAAGTTTTGTTTTACTAATACAATCATATTTTATCGTTTTCTGTTTTCAAGAATCTCAAGAACAATAAAATTTTCAAATTCTTAAGATTTAATTAAGATATTGTAGCAAAGAGAATTTTCAAAACACATCTGAAAATATATAACCACTAACCATAAAATATAAATTGTTTGTTAATGGATAATTAGACATAAATAAAGTACAATGGTGCCTCATACTTCAAATTTAATTCATTCCAAGAGGCCATTTGAAGTACAAACAAATTTTTCCTATAAGAAATAATGGAAAGTGAATTCATCCATTTCCAGACCCTAAACATTTTGTTTAGGCTCTGGAAATGGATGAATTCACTTTCCATTATTTCTTATAGGAAAAATTTGTTTGTACTTCAAATGGCCTCTTGGAATGAATTAAATTTGAAGTATGAGGCACCATTGTACTTTATTTATGTCTAATTATCCATTAACAAACAATTTATATTTTATGGTTAGTGGTTATATATTTTCAGATGTGTTTTGAAAATTCTCTTTGCTACAATATCTTAATTAAATCTTAAGAATTTGAAAATTTTATTGTTCTTGAGATTCTTGAAAACAGAAAACGATAAAATATGATTGTATTAGTAAAACAAAACTTAAAAGTCTTCTATTATATTTTTTATTTTTGGCAGATACATGTGAAATTGAGCCAATATACAGAACAGCAGAACAAAAATTAAATGTAAAAATAAAAAATAAAATTGTATTTAGCCAAAAGATATTTTAATTAAAGATGTTTACTGAAACTGATATATTGGTGTATCAAAATCAGTTTATTTTACAAACCAATGTTTCAATTTCTTATTCTTTGTTTTCTCAGTAGTCACTATTGAAAAAAGTCATCACTGGTTTATAAAAGTTACTGATACAGCAAGAACATTTTGATACACCATTATATTGACACAGTTATAATCCAGTTAGACTATCAAAGAAAGAATAAAAACAAAAACTTTATATTGGGTAATTTTTATTTTAACACACAAAATATGTTTTTGTTCCTATTCACAAGCCCTCATCATATAGTTCTATCATTTGGTTTTAGAATATCAAAATTCTCAAAATGTTTTCAAACCAAATTTTTGAAATTTATCAGAAAAAGAAGAAAAAAAAAATTGAACATTGGTTTTTTTAATGTTATTGTATTTGGAAAAAAACAAAACTATAAGAAATAGACAATCAATTTATTGTTGAAAATAATAATAATGTTGTCACTAAACCAGTCTGGAGATTGAAAAGTTTCATTTGTTTTCAGTCAGGTCAGTCTCAATGTGTTGTCTTTGTATGTTATTTTCCAAAAATAAAATGTAAGGACAAGTCTAAACACATTTTCTATCTTTACACAATAATTTCACTTCATAATCACTTCACCCCCCGAGTTACTACTACTACTTATTTCATGTGCAAATGAATGCACATAACTGTTTGAACACTCACTATTCAACATTAACAGTCAACATACTCAAAAGTATTTGTAGATGTGTTATGTCTGCTTTGAGGTTAATTCCTGGCCTTCAAAGAATGTTTTGAGCCACTGAAATGAAATGGATCACAGAAGAGTTTCACTGTTTCAACATTTCACAAGCTTCTGTAGTTGTTTTTCTTGCAAGCAGCAGCAAAATTTTAGTGGTATGTACTGTTAGTCACTATCAACCTCCATTTTATCAGAGATAAGCAGCAGACATTCCAAAAGCCAAATAAGGTGTATTATTTCCATGCAGCTCTTTTCACAGATTCATTGATTAGCCACTTTAAAAAGTGATATCATAAATTACAAATAAGAAACACAGTTTATGTGCAACAACGGACTTTTTTAAAAAGTTCTTTAAGTTGTTTGAAGGCACAATAGTAGCTAGAGCATTCCACCCTTTATAGGGAGATTATATTATAAAAGTGATTTGAATATAAAATAAGTTATATTTAAAATCCAATTTATCCTATTTCTGTTATTGTCTGTTGAAGATGAGAATTTGATATTATTGTACATCAGTTTTATTCATGTTTTAATAATAATAGAAGATAGTGAATAATTTATAGTAATAGAAAATGGGAGCGATGTGTGACTATTGGTATGAAATTTTTTGCTTTCTTGTGATTTGATTCATTTTTGCTTTCTTGAAAAATGTCAGAGTTTGTCTCAGAAAAGAAAAACTTTTTTGCCACTACCTCAATACAGATCACCACAAAATGCAAGAAAAACTGGAAGCAAGGAAAATGTCTCAGGTGAGTCAACGGAACAGTTGATCCTGTCTTATATAAGTGTTGAAAGGGATATTAATGCTGAAGAAGAAACTAGACTTTTGTTGAAATTACATGTTTCTTCAAATAGTAAACTACAAGAACTTTTACAGAGTTTAGATAAATGCCAGCATGAATTAAGAATATGGATACAGTATTGGTAGATGTTGAAACTAGACTCTCTGCTCTTTAAGATGATAGAGAAAAAGCTTATGTTAAAGATGGTAAATCAAATACAGAAATAAATGTAATATGCAGTTAATGGGATTAGAAGATAAAGAAGGAATAACACTCAGCAGGATGACAGTACAAAGTGGTCATCAGAAGTTCTACATTCAATCTGCCTAGCATGGACAATGACCATAACTTCACCTAAATTGAGGTTTCGAATGCCACATATTCATTCACCAATAACAAAGCCACAGGCCTTGACAGCATAACCAGTAGGATGATTAAACATGCATTTGAGGCCAATCCTACAGCATTTATTATTCTCTTTAATATCTGCTTGAACACAGGCCGTTTTCCTACTCAGTGGAAAAAGCCTAGTGTTAAATTGATTCCCAAACCCACTAGAGCTAACACTTACAAAAAATACAGACCGATCTGCCTTCTCCCAACTCTGGGAAAACTGTTAGATGGTCTAATGATTAATAGGATCACATGGCATCTATGCAAGTATAGAGACCTGAATCAGAATCAGTTCAGCTTCTCTAAAAACAAAAGATACTGTAGATGCCACCCACCAGGCTAAACATAATAATCAGCATATGGAAATAATTACTATTGACTTTAGAGGCACATTATGCCTGGTGGCCTTCTATCTTGCACACATTACACACTCATCACTGCCCTCAATCTTTACAAACTTCTTCAATCCAACTTTAGCAACAGGAGTGCAGGTGTTTAAACACCACAAAATAAGATTCATACCCATCACTTGAGGCTGTCCTCAGGGATCCAGGTCTAGTCCTGGGGCTGTATTTTGGTCATCATCTCTCACAAGCCGGTCGTTGATTGGCTAATCATTTGTTTACGTCTCGAGAGATCATCGCATCTCTCTAAAAGCAATTCTGGACAACTTTTTCTCTCTTCGTTTCTTTCGTTTATCAGAGACGAGCAGATAGTTGTCTTTCGACCAGTCTATCGTGTTTCACCTAGATTTTGTTATATCCAATAAGGATGACTGGATGCTACTCACGCTGTACAATCATATTAGAGAATGTTCTCTATCTCAGGAAAGAATATTTCGAGAGAGAAAATGCTTCCGATTTTTTTCCAGTGCCTACTCAGAAACATCACTGATTCCATTTTTTTAATTTTTTAATTATCCTACATCAATTACTGAACTATCAATTATGATGTTAATCTTACTTAGAAAGTTAAGGAGAAATTAGATGGTAATATTTTGAAAAATATCTAAATATGCACACTTTTCTAACTTAAATTATTAAAATTTTTATTTGTTAAGAGACAAATTGACATTACAATCTAAAAACGTTATAAAAAAAAAAAAACATAACTTCATCAAAATTACGTGCTTTCCTTGCCATGTGAGTATGATTATGTACTCTGCATTTTCAAAAATTTTACAATTTCATTGGTTAAAATTCTATACTGTGTTGCACGCACAGCTAACCCTAACATGTATAATCAACTGAATAGAATTGTGACACCAACAACAAAGACAAGATTGTTACGAACAACCAGAATCACCACCATGTATGAGAGACGAATTTCGTCTCTCACTGTGATGTCATTTGTTGGTGAAAGAAGAGATGAGAGATAAGTGACCAGAATATGGCCCCTGGTCTCTGGAACATAGCTTATAACTCTATCCTGCACTTAAACGATACCCTGCCTCCTGACTGCCACATACAGGATTATGCAGACAACACAATTATCCTAGCTTCACACAGGAATATTGAACACTTACAGGACATATGCAACATCATTCTCAATAATATTCACCAGTGGAGTATTAAGNGTACTCTCTCCACATGGCTCCGTGTGACCTTTGGCTATTTCTCAAGCTGAAAATGCCGCTAAAAGGAACCCAAATTTAGTCGAGAGAAGACATCATGCGAAATGCGACGGACCGGCTGATAACCATTCCAAAAGATGCGTTCCAGCAGTGTTTCCAGCAATGGCAGGAACGCTGGGAGAAGTGTATACATTACCAAGGAGACTACTTTGAAGGGGATTAGGGTTTTGTACCTCAAAGTCAATAAATTTATTTTTGCCGACCAAAGGTCAGATACTTTTTGAACAGACCTTGTATTAAAAAATGATTAGCTGAGATAAGTTGTTGCTGTTAAAATTTTTTCATCCTCTTGCCATGATTATTGGATTATAACAATATCTATTTTTAAACTATAGTTAGATCATCTTTCAAGTGTAAGTGTTAAGATTTTGTAAAATAATCTTTCCGTATCTATAAATTGTTCTAGGAACCATAGCATCTTATTTTTGAAATAATTTTTATTAAAATTATTTTCAAGAATGACTACTTTAAAATGAAATTGTTATGTGGAAAAATTATATTATATATAATAGCTATGAAACTTGAATAATATGTAATTATTTTAACATAGATACATTTATATATTTCTTCTATTATAAACTCTCTTAATTTATTTTGTAGGTATTAAAGATGGTGTAACTGTTCATTTGGTAATTAGATCTGGAAATAGAGTAAGTTTATTATATTTTTTATTTACAGTAGAGCCTCTATTATCCGACTCAATTGGGGACTGGGGTTGGTCGGATAATTGAAAAGTCGGATACCAAAAAGTATGAAAAAATCCATTATTAGTGTAGTATATTATTATATCCCATGTAATTAGTGTAGTATATTATTATATCCCATGTAATTAGTATATTAGTATATCGCTATTAACCTACTTTGCGTTGAATTTTCATCGATGTTAAGCCTAACAAAATTTTTTTAAAATAATAATCGTCGCTATTGTATCGTTAAAAATTAGAAAATTAAGCCTCGTTTAAATACTGGCTCCCTTTCATGGTCGAATGAGTGTTGCCAGCTAAAACACGTAAAAATAATATTAAAGTAGCCAAGACATAGCCAAATATTGTAGCGCCACATCACTAGCGGACATTTGAAATTTGCTGACTAGGACGGTCAGTTAACCGAGGTGTCGGTTAATCGGGGGTCAGATAATCGAGGCTCAACTGTATTTTCATTTACACGAAATTGAGATATATATATATATATATATATAATCTCAAAATAATCTGGATAAGTTATATACATAAAAGAATAAGCATTAGAAAATGTCAAATATAGCCAATTAAAGTCAGTTTCTTTATCTATGGCATGTGATCTACAGTGTGTTCATAAAGTCTCAATCTATTTTGGTGAAAAAATGAAATTGTTGAAACAATGATATATTTTTATGAAGAAAATAATGTTTACAATGTAAATCAGCATAATTTAGTATGACCACATTGCATTTCAGAGCACTATTTGCAATGTTCTGTTGTAGTTCAAAAAACATTTGCACTGTAGATGCTGTAATTAGGGATTACAATTGCTGGATCCAGTGCATTCTTCGGCATGTTGGATCCAGCACTGCGGATCTGCAAATACTCAATTAACTTTCTAAATAATGGTGCAAAAGGTCTACGTTGTCGGCATTGCCGCTTTGCTACATGTGCTATCGCTTGGCAGCGAGAGTGATGTTGCCGTTCAGTGCAGCATGTACTACACCCACTCTCTATACCACACCTCCCACCTTTTTATCTCTGCTGATCTAATTGCCAGTTGACTTTCCGCTCTCGCTAAATAAAGTGTCTTTGCGCTAAATAAAATAAGTAACTCCTCTCCTAGTCCTGGTGCATAATTCTAATTTATGGTCGGTTGTGACATCAATGAATCACATCACGGAACGATGCAGTTTAAGCCTATGGGGAGTGCAACCTCGTGGCTTGTCCACAAAACCTAACCTATTCCTCTGGGAGATGATCGTCACTAGCTAATAGAAAACCTTTTATTTCAGCTCAATCGATATTTTACTGGAGACAAAAAATAAGAAAGTTTTCATACTTTTTTCAGGCGATTGCACTATGATAGGGAGTCGTGTTGCTCTCTCCGCTAAGCCTATCGCGTATTGATGCTGATATGCTCACTATCACTCGCGGTCGGCTAGTACTACGCCTTTAAGGAATGGGAAGCCCATCAAAATATAAACACCATTGTTGCCATTGACGAATCAAAAACCACCAACACCATGACTACGGCTTTCGTTGACTCAAAAAACAACATCATAGCCCACTTCTCTCTCCACCTGGAGGCCTAACTTGACAACAAAATATGACTTTTAAAAAATCACCAACAAAGATGATATGTTTTTGCAAAAATATGTAAAAGAAGCAAAGGACAAAGAATTGAGTTTGATTCTTGACTGCCACACTAGGTGGAACAGTCTCCTCACCATGCTGGAACATTTCTACAGTACAAAAGTTTGCCTCAATAAATCTTTAATAAACACTGGCTCAGACACTAAATTCTCTGCTGACGAGTGGCCATTAATGAATGAGTTGATCACCAGTCTTCAACCAGTTAATTAGCTACTAGACTACTACTAATTACTTACTCACTACTTTACTAACACAAATAATTAAATTACTTATAAATAACTACAAACTGATATGTAGAACCTATATATCAGTTTATCTATATATCTATAACCTATATATCAGTAGAACCTATATATGATATGTAGAACCTATATAAGAAAACTGGTAAGACTGATAGCCACTTAGCCACTGATTATCTGTCCTTACATTATTATACTATAATATATTAATATAAATTAATTAGTAGAATTACTTTTGCTATTATATAATTTAAAGATTACACTTAACTTTGGTTCGGTTTAATTAAGTGTTAAATCGAACCAAGTTAAGTTTACTACCTAAATGTGTAAGAAGTTTTACTGATTTATAGTGACCAGTCTAAATAATAAAAGTTTCATACATATTTAAAAAACAAATGTTTTATTTCTTTAAAAAAAAAACCATAAATTTCTGGATAGATAGATTGATAACACTTTATTGCACCAAAAATACATCCACACTGGATCTAGCTGGAATGATGTTGGTCCAGCAAAAGTCCAGCTGGATTGAAAACACTGTTGGGTTGCAATCCCTAGCTGTAATGCTGTTGGGATATGATGATTATGGTCTCAAAGATCATTAATTCTTTTATGATAAACTTTGGACTTGATAAATCCCTAAGTGAAGAAATGTAAGGATCAGATTAGTAATCTTGCTGACCACAATCTTTTCAATTTCCTGCTGGGTCCTCCTTCCAGAAAAGGCTTCATTCAAGTCTCCAACACAGGTTGCAAAATGAAGATGTCCCATCCTGCTGAACCACAGCAGTACCAAAAATGTCATTGTCTATGAGCTGTGCTTTAGAAACTGACATATCATGTTGAGATGTATATTGCTAGATACTATGATTTCTATGAAAAAACAGTAATTTTTTCCTCCAGTGTCAACTTTCCTCAAGTTATTTAGGATGACTACAAAGAAAACAAACATTAGTTACATTTTTACCAAAATGGATTAAAACTTTACAGACACTCTGTATATTCTGCCAATTGTAAAATCTTACTCCAATTCAGAAACTGGAAGTTCTACCATTTGTCTCTTGCTCTGAAGATTTAATCAACAATTAAATTGAACAAACAGTACTGTATATATTTTGTATCATTATTATTATGGAAAGTATATAGGAGGCGTTACTCAAAGGTATTTCCTCTAAGGGGATGAAATGAAGTGAGAAGGTCTTAGACGGAAGGGAAAGTGGTTGGTGGCAGAGGCCAAAGAGGATGAAGGTGGGAAGAGAAGTTAGGAAATGAAGGGGGAGGTCATGAGTTACAGTGGGACATAGAATTGAACAATAGAGGGTACACAGGTTACCGGATGATACAATAACCATACAGAGGATATATAAGGTGAGGATATGTGGAGTATCGTAGAGATGCAACACATTGTAGAAAGTTGCATAACCAGGAAGGTGCCCTCAAGGAGGATCCTTCAATTGGTGCTAGTCCCTTGATGAATATTAGGAGGGTCGAGGGCTGCAGTTGATCTCAGAAAGGCGATAATGGCACTGTAGATGTTTCGTTCCTTAAGCAACTTGCTATGTGAGCAGGGCCAGCTGTAATTATTCTTGAGTACCTCGCCCATCAGACTTATCCGTTGTTGCTCGTAGAACTTGCAATCCCAGAGAAGGTGCCTGGTGTCATGTATAGATAAGTTATCACACAGGCAGGTGTTGATAGATTTGATGTTAAATCTCTTCAGGTATGCATTGAAACAGCCATGCCCAGTGATTAGTTGTGTCAGTTGGTAGTGTGGGGTGAAGTAAGTCCACTTTAACCTATCCCCAATGTCCAGGATAAATTCATAAGTTGTTCTCCCCATAACACCATTGTCCCATTCACATTGCCACAGTTTGAGGGCCTGGTTGTAAGCTCAGGACTTAACTTTAGACCTGGGGATCTTGCTATAAGAGTAGATGAGGCTGGAACTGGCAGCCTGCTTTGCAAGCAAGTCTGCAGCCTCATTGTCAGGGACACCAGAGTGCCCACGAACCCACTTGAAGTGAAGCATGTGCTGGTGCATATTTGTAGAAAGTAGGTGGTGGATTTTTGAAATGCACTCACCTCTGTTGTATGGACTGTAGAGGGAGTGTAGAACAGTCAACGAGTCCATGTAAACACAGATGTCCATACAATGGGGGAACCACTCCTTGTACACATGTTCCACAGCCTTATAGATTGCGAGGATCTTGGCCTGTGGAACCGAGCAGTGGGGCCCTAACCTGAAAGCAGACCTGTGTGTTGTGTGGTTTCTGTGATTAAACAGAACAAAAGTGGCACCAACACCGCCACTGTGGAGCAAACCATCCATGTAGATAGATACGTCCATATGATGGGTATGGGAGGCACGGCTCTGAAGCCAAGGATACTCTTGATAACTGTTTGAATTGGTGGATTTACTTTCTATCTTATAACGCTTCAAGTCCTCCTTGAGCCGAGGGTCAAGAGTCAGTGAGAAGTCTTTGCAGTTATTGCAGGAATCCTTTGACTGATTATTAGTGTGCCACAGCCACATGAGCATCCTGGCTTTAATGTGGGCCAGTAGAAGGCCGGCAATGACAAGCAGGGCGAAAGTAGGAGCCGTGCGATATGCCTTGCAGATACAAAGGGCAGCAATTCTCTGTGCCTTGAGGAGAGTACGCTGTGTATGCACTTTCTTAGTGGCGGCTGGCCAGATGGGGGCAGCATAAAGGAGGATCGGTTCGATAGCCCCTAAATAAATGTGCCGGGCAGCCTTATAACTCCCCAGGTGTTCTTGGCTATACTAAAGAGGGCATTTGAAACCCGGGCCGCCTTAGCACTGACCATCTCGATGTGCCTTGTCCACTAAAGTTGCTGTTCAAAGACCACGCCAAGATAAGTGAACTCAGTCTTCCTTTGGAGACGGTTACCGCCAATGTGGATCCTCGGGCTCCTCTGTAAGGGAGTGTTCTTAGAGAACATGATGTACAAAGATTTACTAAAGTTTATGGGGAGCTTCATGCGGTTGCTCCAGTCCGCCACTTTGCTGAGGATGTTGTTACTGAAGATGGGGAGTTTACCACTGTTTTGGTTGGAAACCAGGATGATAGTGTCATCGGCGTATCCTTGGACGAGGGCATCATTCAAGCCATTGAGGGTAGTTAGAAGAACGTTGTGCACAATAGTCCACAGGCCAGGGGCCGAGATGGAGCCCTGGGGGCAGCCTTTGGTGACACGATGAACATAGTTGTATGTGGCAGAGTACTTACCTGCCTGGCGATCCTCCAGGCAGAGTATACTGCCTGGAGGATCTGGAGTATGAAGCTACTGCAGATCGAGAAAAGATTCCGTGGGCAATGATAAGTCCGGAGCTGCCAAAGGATAAAAGGCCACCATAAATTGTTGATAGAGATAAGCAGAGTGTGCTTACCTTCTTCTTTAGCATTTTGTATGTGCTCAACTATGGTAGAAAGAGCAGTGATGGTCGACTTACCAGGGGTGAAACCATTTTGGTGCGAACTAAGGTGGTTGTTAGTTCTAAGGTGGCAAAGGATCCTGCTGTTTATCAGCCTGTCAAGGACCTTCCCCAGGATGGGAAGGAGGCTGATAGGTCTGTAGTCCTTAGGATGAGTGGGAGTGTAACCTGGGTGCTTATTAATGAACTTAACGGAGGCAATCTTCCATTGGCTCGGGAAATAACCCAGCGAGAGGCAGCGGTTAAAAATAGTGACAAAAGTAGTTGGGATAGCAGCGAAGGTTTCCCTTACCATTTTCCCCATGATCCCATCAATTCCTGGTGCTTTTTTGATTTTGACAAGATTAATTTTGTGGGCAACTTCATTAAAAGTAAATGGGGGATCCTCCCGCTCGTCAGGCGGGTCTCTGAAGCCTGAGCGAGTATTGTGGTGGAATTCACTATCCGTGTCTTCGGTGTCTTCAGGGAAATGGTAGCTGAAAAGCTCCCTCATAGATTCCGGGAGAGTATTCGTGAAGGTGCCATCGCTGGTCATGACCGCCGCAGGTGTGTTTGCCTTACCCTTCTTCTTAAAGGTGATATAGTAAGGCTCACACCAGGGTGTGTTGAAGCTGCTGCAGAATTTTCTCCACGCCTGGTGGCGCTTACGGTTGATCAGAGTTTTGTATGAGTTGAATTTCTCGATGTATCAGGCCTTGTAGGCCGCTCTAGTGTGCATGTCTGTCTGTCGATGATACAGCTTACGAAGCCTTTGAACCTCCAGGCGATGGCTAGCTGATTCATTGTCAGCCAGGGGCCATAGACTTCTTGTTACCTGTGCTTTTGCTTGCCATTTTGTGGCTGTGGAGGATGACCCTGTTGAGTTGAGAAACACAGTTGTCAAGTTCAGTGGTTGTCATATTCGTGATAGGAACATCAGTAGTCCAGTTGGTCTTCATCAGCTCTTGGAAAAGTGGCCACTGGGTACAGTAGCCCTTTTCGGAAGGCCTGCTGTCGTTCACGTTGATATTGAGATGTGTCACAATGTACCTGTGGTCACTCGCACTGGGAGTCGTGATAGTAGAACAGTGACTGATCATGGGAGCCATGGGAGTGTTAGCCAGGGTGACATCCACCCAGCTTTCGCCCCTTGGCGAGAAGAAGGTGGGAAGGGGACTAGAGTTGCATGAAGTAAGATGGAGAGCCGCTATTAGTTCGAGCAGAAGGAAGCCATGGAGATCCTCCCTAGGACTATGACAGAGGAAGGATTTCGCGTTGGCATTCCCACAAATGATCCATGGCCGGTCCGCCACGGTGTTGCTGATCCGATCAAGGTCATCGAGGAGAAGCTCTATGCGCTCAAAAGGAGAGCAGTAAATCAAAGAGATGAAGAAGGCATTGTTTTGGGTATAAATTGACCCAGTAGTGACGTAGTTGGTGGACAGCTGAGGCAAGAATTGGACAGTTATGTTGGTATTCCTGATTAGGATTGCAGTCTTGGTGCCAGGATTAAAGCTTTTGGGGGGAATAGTAGTCCAGCTGCCAAAATGTGAGAGGTGACCTTTAAAAAGATATGGCTCTTGAATGACAATAATGTCTACATCAAGATCCTCAGCAGTCTTAATAAGGAGGGATGATGGAGCCTTACCTCTTTGTAGATTGATCTGCAGGATTCTCAGTTGACTGGAAGACTGTGTGATTACTGAATGCTGGCTAGAGGCCATAATTTGTTCGGCTTGCCGTGTTGTATTTGATTCTTGTTGTTATAGGACAGATTGGGTCAAAGGCATTGTGATCAGTTCTGAACTTCATGTCAATTGGCTGATCGGCGTTGGCCTTCTTGCAGTTTGTACAGCATGGGGTTTTTTCCAGATGGCGACACTCTGTGTAACGATGTTGCTTGGCACAGTGGCTGCACCGCTGGGTGTTCGGGCAATCACTGGCATGATGATTAAATCCACAACAGTTATAGCAGCAGATGACGGGAATGTAGTCGTCTGCTTTGATGTTGGCCCAGGCTAAGGAAAGGTGTTTTTTGCCACAATTAGATTTCTGATGGGAGGTGAAACAGCGATTACAACATGCCGGCAATTTTCTTTGATCCTCCCTTTTCTCAAGCTTGTACTAATCCTGCTATTTTTCAGTAGGTCTTCTTTTTTAGTGATCTGTAAAAATTTGTTTTGTTCGTAAGCCAGAGCAAGGAGTTCCTCATCTTCAATAGAATTTGGAACATTCAGGAGGATGACCCTTGGTTGCCTTCCAGATGAGACAGTACATTTGATCTTTCCGTTTATGCTATCGATGCTATTGATAGCATTCATGAGGTTTCGTCCCTCCTCCTCTGATCCGACCCGTACACAGAAGCCATCATCTTTTATGTCTCTTACCCCTTTTACACCGACTTGAATCTGTTATGGTTTAATGGATTTCATGATTGTAGACTTGATCTTTTTAATATCTGGGCCTGCTCCGAGTCGTTCTCTTTCTTTGTGAAAACAAGCACGGCATGGCTGCTGCTTGTCCCTTCTTGGTTGAGCTTCCTACCAAGAGTTTGGTTGATAACCTTAGTTGTGTGACTTGGTCGTATTTTGTTTCCACTCTGAACTGCCATGGCATAAGAGAGTGTTGTTTCGCTGGTACTGCTAGTAGTCGTAGTGGTCTGCCGTGAAGAATGAAGTTCGCGGAGAATCCCAAACATTTGGACGACACACGAGTGCAGTTGTGTCACTCTTCTTCTCACTTCTTTTCTTTCATGAGTACGGATATAAATGCTTTTGGTTTCCGGCAGGAGGTTTAGGATCTTTCCCAGTTGAATGCTGGCTTCCTTGAGAATATTCTCTTCGAGCGAACCAGTAACAGTAGGGATATCAGGAGAAACACACTGCTCTTCAGGAGCAGTGTCCGTTTGCGGTTGTTGAACCTCCGGATCCATAAAAACAGATGCTCAGGAGAAAAGAAGACGATAAAACAAACGATACCCCTACTAGCAAACGCAAGTGGAAATGGCCAAAAACCAACCGGATTAGGGTCAGTTAGGGGATGAGCGAAAGATCCGAGGAATAGCAAGACCAAAACCCCACCAGAAAGGGCAAAATGAACCAAAACCAGCGAAAACGCTCGTCGAAAAAAAAAAACTCAAAAGTAATGGAATGGCAAGTGACGCAAACAACCGAATTAGGGTCAGGAAGGGGATCAGCAGCCACGTGGAGAAAACGATGACCCTTCACCCTTTGTGCCTTTTCGGCGCGATAATTCGAAAAGTACTGATCCGATTTACACGAAAGTCCAATACGATAAACAGACTAACCCTTACTAAAGACTAACAATAAAACAGAGCGAATGGCCTAATACGATGGCCAAAAATCAGCCAAAAGTCGGCAAGTAACGGTCGTTAAAACTAGCGAAATAATTAACGGACTTTACTAAATGATATATTGATTGAATCGGGGTAGCAAGGTGAACACAGCGGTATAATACATAAAAACGTACGACATGAACTTGGTGAGAAGAAAACCGTCCGAAGTTTGACCATGTGATCTCTGCCAAATAAGGCTCATAACTCCCGAAGGTCTGAACCGAATTTAAAAAGTGAGACGGTGTTGGAAAGCGCACATCAACAGTAACAAAGTGATATGTAGTATACTCACCGATCGTAAAAAAATCCAAAGATAAAACGATTTAAAAACGGAGCCTATAAACACATTACATATAGCAGTGACGACAATGGCATCCTCTGTCCTATACATTTTGTATCACATGTCTTACAAATACATACCTTACATAATGTAGTACATTAACGCCTTAAGTTCCCAGCAATTTTTGATATTAATGTAATTAAACATAAAAAATACTTAAAACTGAAAAAACGAAAAAAATGCGTTAATTTTGAAGAAAAAGCTTCAAACTTTATTTTCCTTTGTCTCGCCTTTCTGCGAAATTTGACACCGATGAGTCATTGTTTACACAGCTGGATGACCTTGAACACAGCTGGAGTCGGATTTCCCAGGACGTTCTTATAGAAGTCTCGGGAGGACAAGGGTTTAGGGAGTAGGGAGTAGGGTGAGTTCTATCTGGCCGTATATTTTTAAATATTTTTAAAAAGTTCAAATTTTAATTGTGATTTCCGACCCCCCGACTTAATTAAACATGTATATAATAAAATCTATTAATTAAAAAAATTAAAAAACTATTGGAGGTGGTTTTTGACATCAGAAAGCAGCTTTAAATAACTTTACCGAAGGAAAATCCGTGCGCTACAACTTAGGAACCATGAAATAAATTTGATAAAAAACTCCCATTAAAAAACAATTAAGCCTTAATCGAGCCTTATCAAAGGCTCATTAAAATCGCGATAAAA